ACCACAGGAGGACATTGACCACCTGATCAGAAGCATGCCTAGGCGCGTTGGAGAATGCGTAGCACATCAGGGTGCATCCACACATTATTAAAGGTCAAAGGGCTTTAAAGCAGTGCAATCATTTTGAAATTTTTATCATTTACTTATTATGCTTCATTAAGTACTTATACAAAATTTTATTAAAATAAAACCATTTAAACTGGGTGTTCGGATTTATATGTCACTTAGTATATTTATTCACTATATTGAAGTAAAACAAAACACCAATAGAAAACGTGTGTTCAAGTGCAGTACATACACGATGGAAATGTTTATAAACCCTTAGACATAAATATTGGCATGTTACAATCTGATTGTTATGAAAGTCTGTTTATCTCGGTTGTCATTAATAGTTTCGAATTTGCTGTTGGGAGTCTATTATCGTCCTCCTAACAAGGATCTGGCTGCCTACATTCAAAATTTGGATCAAACTTTGCCGCGGTTGCAACTTGACTTTGATCATATAATAGTATTAGGAGATTTTAATATTGATATATTGACTCACACTGAAAACAACCTATTAAACTGTATCAAATCATATGGATTTTCTCAAGCAGTCTCTGAACCAACAAGGAACTCTCAAAATACATCAACTCTTTTAGATCCAATCTTTGTATCAAATGAAATGATAGTAAATAATACATGTACGTTAAGCGCTGATGCTGTTAGTCATCACAGACTTGTATTGTGTAAATTGTCCCTGTATCGTCAAAAGTTTGTCACATACCGTGATCATAAAAACTTAGATCACGATCTGTTCATGATGGACTTACGCTCCATTCTGTGGCTTCACATCTATACTGTGCAAAGCATCGATGAAAAAGGAAGATTATTGCCTTACTATTTTACATTATTGTTCGACATTCATGCTCCTAAAATTACCGACAGAGTTAGCATGCCGCCAGCACCCTGGCTTACAGATAATCTTAAACTGATTTTCAAGGAGAGGACAGGTCATTACACACAAGTTGAATAGAACCGAAGAACATCTTAGGCACTACAAAGAGATAAGGAACTTTGCATTGATGGCAATGAGAACATAAAAACGTGCATATCTCAACTATTTGCATTCTCAGAGAAATAATAGGCAATTTTGGAAAACATGAATACAAAAAATTCCTCTTCCTTTTCACTTCCACCATTCTTAAGCGATTCTAATGAAATAAACAGGTCTGCGTATACTGAAAATAATGAATCTAATGCTCTTATTACCAGATATTACTCCAGCAAAATCAGTGATTCTAGCTTCACATTGAGCTTTGTTGACCAAAGTGTTGTACTGGAGCATAGCATATATCGATGATAAGATCAAATGCATGTGGTCCTGATGACATAACCTTGTGTATGCTCAAGCCTTCAATATCAGAGGTATTAAATCCATTGCCACACATTATAAACTGTTGCTTAGAGAAAGGATATTTTCCTCGACTTTGGAGAGAGGCTGTCGTATGCCCTTTACCTAAAATCCCTGCTCCAACCGAGCTTGCTCATTTGAGACCTATTAGTTTACTATGCATTCCATCCAAACTGTTAGAAAAAATAGTTAATGTACAGCTAAATCAGTATTCAATAGATCAAAACATTCTCCCTAAGCACCAGTCAGGTTTTAGGGGAGGGCATAATACAATCACTGCTCTTTTAAATCTTAATGATGAAATTATACGGTCGCTAGATAAGAGGCTTGTCACTCTTCTTATATCCTTGGATTTTTCAAAAGCCTTTGACACCATTGATCATTAACTCATGTACGCAAAACTGTATCATTATGGCCTTGACCATACAGCGTTGAACGTATTTTGCAATTACTTAAGTCTTCATAAGCAAAGCGTTATTCTACATAACAAAGATCTGAGATAACAACAATACCATCAGGAGTTGCTCGAGGTTTCGTTTTAGGACCGTTGTTATTCATTATACAGGGTGTCCGCAAAGTTGGGGTTTTCCTTTACACGACGTGTAGATCTTGAAAACATAAGCAATTTTTCTTAGTACCATATACACCAATGTCTTAAGGGAACCGAGATAAAGGGCTCTGCAACATCAAAAATATCTGAATACCGTCCTGTAGCCGCGACCCGGGACATCACTGAAAGTTTAGTGCTATCAATTATCAGTTATGGTTTGATAGTTTTTTTTATCCATGTCTGGACTATTCGACTCAAATGCGCCTGCAGAGATTACAGAATAACTGTTGCCGTTTTGTCTGTAACTTACGTAAATCTGACGACATATCTAATAGTTTCAGGCTTTTTCAATGGCCTAATATCAATTCTCTGTTCAAAGCCGTATAAGCCGTTTATTTCTTTTGGTCAATAGCCCGTGGAATAGATATTTCAAGGTTATTTCCCAGGGTAAAAAGTAGCCTATGTGCTGTTCCAGGCTATACTTCAGTATCTTGGCGGGACTGAGTAACAAACATCCGCACTATCTCATTTACAATATTAGTAGGGATAGGGATTCCTCAAATCACTCTGACATTATTTTTAATTTTGAACAGAAGATCAACTGAAGTAGGCTGGGATAACTATTCAATAATCAGTTAACATGAAATCAAGCGGAGTGTTAGTGTGTCATAGTTCCGCATCCTTTCCAAAATTATGGCTAATGAAATACAGGACAGAGGAGCTCTTTTTCTATCACCCCAGGTCCCTCAAACAGTTTTTAGCCCAACGGAATTAATTATGTAGATTTTTTAATTTTTTAGTAAAAACTTCAAAATGTAATACAGAAAGTGAAATAAAAAAAAGAGTATGTCCACCTTATGATTAATTTATCTTAATGGATGATGTACCAATCTTACAAAATCAACATTACTTGCCAGCAGTATGTAGCTTTTTATTTATAACTCACAAAGGGTTACAAAGAAGAACAAAAAAATGTAAGTTTCAATTTTGAATTTCTGTAAAAAAAACTAAAAGTGTTCACGTTCTTAGAATTCTTTTAAAAGCTACTCTAGTTTATCTCGATACTAACGGTATGCCACAAGTTACAACAAATTTGAAATAATTTCTTGAATTTGCAAATTTTGAGTACAGGGTCAATTTTTTCCGGTCGGATAATAACAATATATTTTTGTTTCTGTTGTGTAATTTACACGTACAACGGAACTCAGGTAAAAACTTTTGTCTTTCTCGTACACAGCGGAGCAGTATCATCTCTCTCTCTCTTTTACTAGTTGAGCGGCTAACCGACACGGACGTCGTGGGTCCATTTTTCCATCGAGGTTCGTCCTTGCTGGCTGCCTAACGCTTTTGTTATTTCTACGTAGTGCCGCGACATGTGACTATTGATGTTTTGTCAGTTTTCGTTGAGTTATGTTTTGATGATGGCTGTATTTACAAATGAAGAGTATGCAGACATGTTGTTGGTGTACGGACAAGCCAAATGTGTTACACGAGCAGCGCAAAGAATCTACGAAGAGCGCTATCCTAACAGGCGTGTACCTACTCGCCACACATTCCAAAACACTTATCGACGCTTACGAGAAACCGGTACTGTGAGCAATAATGTACCAAGAGGTGACGTAGTGCGACACAATGTTGACATCGATGAGCGGATTTTGGCACTTGTCGAGGAAGATCCTACTCAAAGCATCCGAAATGTAGCTTCATCAATCGGAATTTCAATTTGGAAAGTGTGGAAAGTACTTCGCCAGAATATTAAACATGCCTTCCACTACACTCCTGTACAAGGTACGTAATTTTTTATCAATCTTACAACTGTCTGCAATGGAAACGTCTTATCGCTTTTATTTAGCATGTAGCGGCGGCAAAGTAATGTTACCCGTATTTTTTTGATTGCAGGTCTTGAAAACAATGACTTCGACAACCCAGTCCGGTTTTGTCGTTTCTTGCTGCGCACACACGTGGACGATTCGGACTTTTTGACAAGTATTCTGTGGACGGATGAATCCAAATTCACCAAGGAAGAGATACTAAATTTGCACAATCTGCACCATTGGGCTTCAAAAGTTCAGAACCTCAAGATTGAAGAGGCCAAGATCTTTCCAGAGAAGATTCAGTGTGAATGTTTGGGCAAAAGTAATTGGCAATCATTTGATTGGACCACATTATTTGCCAGATCGTCTTAACGGAGATAATTATCTATATGTTCTGCAAAATAACTTGCCCTAATTGGTGAATGAGGTGCCATTTTTCAACGGCGACAGACGAATTGTGTTCCAACATGATGGCTGTCCTGCACACTGGAGGCTAATTGTGCGGCAACATCTAAATGATGTTTTTCCGAATGCGTGGATTGGACGTGCAAAAGCACTCGTCTACGAGACAGAAGTTGGAAGAAGGGAGAAGTTGATCCGAAGAATAGAATAGGCGTTTGGTACGATTTCGCCTACGTACGACATCCGTCGAGATAAGACAAAGGTGTCGTGCGTGCATACGTAATAGAGGACAACAATTCGAACAAGAATTGTGAAACAGAAAAAATAATAAATGACTGAAATTTGATTTATCACGTTTTTTATTTTCCTTGCCCTGTACACAAAATTTGCAAATTCAATAAGTTAGTTAAACTTTTTGTGTCTGAATATGATCTCGAACAATAAAGAGTCGAATAATGTGGAATTCGATGAGAATATAGACCCCATGATTTTCCTATGCTCAACACTTGAGGTTGGCGAAGACTTAGATGATGCCTTATCATGTCACATTGATGACTGAGGAAAAAAGTAACAATAACATCATTTTTCTATTCTATCTTCGTGGATTAGGCCTATTGGGAAATACACATGAAAAAAAACCGCGTCAGGTACTTTACCTCTATGGTGACGTGGAAAAAAGTACGTTACTTTACAATTTTCTGGATGTTCAACATTGAAAGTAGAATTTCCTTGGAAAAACGATCTCTAAAACATGTTTCTAGATACGCCAGTGGAAAGACTTATCATAAGGAAACTTTTTAATCCGAATCCAGAAGCAATAATACTATGAAAGAGTTCTCACCTGTTGCGTGCTACCATCAACCGCTGACGTAACGGCCCCACCACCTCCATACACTACCTTCTTGGCAGCCAACACGCCTACTTTCGTAAGGCTAGTATCTCCATCGCCACTGCCCCGCCTTTCGAACTTTTGCAGCGCGTATTGGATACTGGAAGACATCGTCGTAGTGCCACAACCCGTAGGTGAAGCTATCCCGCCTCCTACCTGTAACATAATGTTTGATTTGTTTCACCTAAGTGTCACGACTGTTAATTTAGCGTTGAATATTCAATCAGTATTACCAAAAAAATACATTCTGGATCCCGCAAGTCTTTTATTTGGCCAAACTTTGTTTATTCATTCTTCCTGAACATAATACTGATAGCATCAAAAACATGTCTGAGAATGGTCGTCCCGTATCTCGTGGGTTTAAATATTCCAGTCCCGGTCGAATAAGAGTCTGACTAATAATAACAGATGGATCCTATCCAAATGACAGCGTGCTCAATGGTAATAGTTTGATCAGCAAGAACGCGTTAACGTGATTTTCGTTCGTAAAGGGCCGACGTTAATTCGACATTTTTAGGGTCCGTACAATATATTAAATTAAGTTAAACCATTGTATTATGTATTGCTCTCTAAATGGTACCTGTACTGTTGGGCAATAAATGCTTTATTATTATTATTATTATTATTATTATTATTAATATATCACTAAGCTTAGGATAGAACTGTCCCTTCTTAGGCCTAGGGCCTATGATCAGTTTTCGCCTTAGTCAGAGATGTCCGGAGATACGACTCCACAGTCACTCTAATTTAATTCTCTTACAGCTGACCCAACACCCAGTTCGTGACACAAAAATGTTCTTAACTCCTTGCTTTTTTCTTGATACACAGATCAATAATGGATGGGGTTCGAAAACCACAACACCAGAGCCTTACTTTGTACGTACGATAAAGCGATCGAAGTCATAAAGAGTCCATGAGAATCAAATCCATTCTCCCCTTTACATGTCTGACTTACTTGAATGAATGAATCGTGAAATTAGAACCATTCCGGCCACCATAAGGAGCCAGTGCATAGGCCGCTTAAACGGGCCCTTATGCACCTCTACATTCCTTAGATCACAAGCCTCGCGCTTTTAGCGAAGTTGAGAATCGCCTTGAGTCGAAGCTCCTTGACGTCCTGAGGGTCCAAAGTAATGGATCCCAGTATAGTCTGCCTATAGTAGCTCAGAGCTTCACAGCGACACAACACGTGCGCCGAGGTCTCCTCCTCTATCCCGCAGCGCTCACACAAGGGATCCTCAGCCACGTGCAGTTGGCGCCTTAACGTGTTATGGCCAGACAACAATCCCACCAGCAGCCTTAGGTTGGCTCTATCCAGAGATAAGCAGAAACGTCCATCCTTAGCGCTGGGCCCTTCAATGAGTTCTCGTGCCTGGCGGAGATGTCTGGAGATACTTCTCCATTTCTGAAAATGTTGTCTTGCAATCCACGTCTCCATTTTCCTCCTAGCTCTATGAGCGGTCATTCCTAGAGCTGGCTCAGGACCAACGAGCTTGCTGGCTGATCCTGTCTTCACAAGAGCGTCCGCCGTCTCATTGCCCCTTATTCCAGCGTGCCCCGGTACCCACATTAACGATACCGAATGCCTCGCTGTGAGACAATTCAGAGCCTCCCTGCATTGCAATAAAAGACTCGAAGTAATCTTACAGGCACTTAGTACCTTCTCGCTCACTCCGGAGAGTCTCCGGCTACCGGCGTCCCACTCCTCCCTCGTTGGATACTCCACAATAAACTTGCGGTTGAAGCGATATTTAGGGGTAATACGATCACCACTACTTTGAAGGACGGGGTTCTCCCTTTGCAATTCGACTAAGATGGCAGTATGCCCCTTGATAGGGTTCACGAAGCTGCCCTGACTCCACAGTCGATGAGCGACTACTCTCGCTTCACCGCGGATCACCAGATCCAACGGTGGGAGATCCAACAGAGCTTCCATTCCACTCAATGGCGTTGTACGCACTGCGCTTGTAATGCTACTCGTAATACAGGCCAAACGCTGAATTTTATCGAGTTTGGCCTTAGTTGTCTCAGTTCTAATGCAAGGCCACCAGACCAGGGAGCCGTACAAGAGAGAAGGACGTACTATCGTCGTGTAGAGCCAGTATACCACTTTGGGTTTAAGCCCACATCTTACACCGACAACACGTCTACAGGCCCACATTGAATTGCGAGTCTTGCTAACCTTCATGCTCTCTCCAGTTCAGCTTGCAATCCAGGATAATTCCCAGATATTTCACTGATTGGGATAGAATTAATCTAGTCCCAAAGAAGGTCGGCATGAACAGCCCGTCAAGCCTTCTTCTCCTGGTGAATAGGATCAGCTCGGTCTTTCCAGCATTTACAGAAAGATCGACTTCCCTGCACCACGATTCTACAGAGCGCAGAGCGCCCTGCATAATTTCAGGGACTGTTCTACAAAAGCGTCCCCTAACTACTAAGCTTAAGTCATCAGCATAGGCTTGCACGTAGACACCCACACTGCTGAGCCTAACGAGCAGTTCGTTCACCACAATGCACCACACTAGGGGTGACAGAACTCCGTCCTGAGGGCAGCCTCTAGCTTCGCTGACGCTGCAGCTTACGTCATTCAGCATAGCTGTTGCTACCCGGCCCTCCAGAGTAGATAGGACCCAATCTATTAGGATTGATCCAACCCCGGGCCTAACCAAGGCATGTCTGACTTACGTGACTAAACTGTATTTTTATAAGAATTTTAATGCTGAATCTTTCTGATGTGTAAGCCCATGAGTGGAAGTAAAGCAGCGACCAAAGAGGCTTGCGAGATCTAGATTATCATTCTCTACCACGACTACAATTTTCTGAACATTTGTAACGTACCGGTGAGATGACCGGCGATCGCAGAGGCGGCGTTATTACCCCACCACTTCCGATCGGAGACGTAGCTCCGCCCCTCAGCGGCGCGGTAACCTTGACACCGCCCCTAGCGGCCGCGATACGCGCCTTGTCCTCGTCCACGAAGTTCTTCACCAGCTTCTCCAGATGGTTGTTGTCCATCGTGGGCGCCTGCACTAGCAGATCGATGGACGGCTTCGAGGCCGCCGTGGAAGGCTTCAACATCGAGCTGGAACAAAAGAAAATAGCCATTATAAATGTGAAGCTGAAAACGTATCTCCTTTCAGAATCATTCTACTGTGAAAAATGGGTTATTTAAAAGATCGGAAACGGTGGAATATTTTGGAAAGTCGCGGGTCGATACTCGGCAAATTTTGAACAGAGGTATAAGCGATCATTCCCGTTCAGATATTAATTATAGCGCTGTTGCCAGATGTACCATTATTTCGGAAAAGACGTATTTTTTGGTCCATTTTTTATTGACTCTTTAGTAATCCTCAATACAACCTTCAAAATACCAACCTTCGATCCAGCTTACTTATGAAGATATAGCAATATTATCAAAGGTCTAGAAATGGTCCAATTCTCGTGAAGTACTGGTTCTATAACCACCAAATTTTTAATAGAATGATAATCAAGCGTTCCGGATCAGGCAGTAGTAATTGCATTGTTGTCAGATCCGTCACTAAATCAGAAACAATACCGCTTTTCACATTTTTATATAAGGATGAATTCTTGAAATGAGACAATAGAATATCTGGTAGACAGTAGGTGCGGGACTCTATTCTTTAACACTGATAGAAGAGTAGATCCTCAGGTCGTTGAGCAGCAGTCTCATCTTTAAAGATCAAGTTAACCTTGCGATAAAGCATTTAGTGATATGAAGAGCCTAGGAACATATTATTTTGCCCCAAAGCGATGCAATCACACCCGAGATGCCAAATCATGTCCTCAATGATTTGGTCTCCCGTAAGCAGAAAAGAATGGCTTATTTGCCATCTGTTAAAGCCGAATGGACATTTGGATGCAACTTAATACATAAGTAGTGAATCTTGGAAGCCACGTTTTCGGTCAGAGTAAATTTATCGTGCTGCAGATATCAGTAGTTAGGACAAAGACAATTTAAAACTAAATTAGTATGTTGCGAAAAATGCATAAAATTGGAGTTATGTATACGAATAATGAAACTTTTAATACTGAAGCTAAATAGTTCTAATACATTCGTATACGTGCGTAACCAATTAAGCTTCAAATTCCATATCTTCTCAGCAGCCTAAATTTAGTTTTAAATTTTTCTGGTTGTGTTCGCTCATTAATGGAAACAATGTTGAAGTTGAAACTGAACAACCTGAGTTAAAAAAAGAAATCTGTCAGCAGGGTTGATGAAAAGTATATCGATAAGATAACCGTAGATTTCATAGTAATTTGTTATGTCTTGGTACAAAATACACTTCTGACATACGAAGATGACTTTTTAAACTATACAGGTCCACCAAATAAAAAAGTGTTCATCTGAAGTTAAAATTGGAGTATTATAATAATCCTAAACAGATGTGGTATAGTTTCTCCAGGTGGAATATACACACAAAATCCAGTAAACATATATCACAGGACATTGAAGATGCTGAAAGCATCAATCATCACTTTATTAACTCTGTACCAAACCTGCAACCAGATGACTTATTCCTTAAAACATTCTCATGGCAAAAAATTCTATAGTATGCAAGTCTTCCGTTCATCATGTTACATCAGACCAAGTTGAACAAAAACTGAAAGAAGTCAAGTTAAATGCTGCGGGTGTTGATGGTATCACTACAAATATGCTGAGAAACGTGTTCTCTTCTTGTAAATATCAGCTAACCAGTATCATCAACCAATCACTGGGTACAGGGGAAGAGCCATCATTATGGAAAAAAGCAGTCATAACACCACTTGCAAAAGTTAATGATGCCATCGATTTTAAGCACCTCAGACCAATAGGTGCTTTACCTTCAATGTCCAAACTGTTAGAGAAAATTGTAGATGATGAACTTCGTATGCATCTAGAAATCAACAGTGTTGCTTGACACCCAGTCTGGGTTTAGGAAATTACATAATACATCTACAGCGCCCATTAAAATTGCCAGTGATATAGTGAAATTTATAGACGATGGCATGATAACGCTACTAGTCATGCTAGACTTCAGCAAGGCATTTGACATGGTACATAACAGAGTTTTGTGTGAAAAACTGCATCATCATGGTTTGACCGGAAATGCCATGCTGTGGTTTAGTAATAACTTGTTTGATAGATCTCAAAGTGTAAAATTGCGTGGTAAAGTGTCTACTTTACGAGCTTTGGAGTCTGGTGTTCCACAAGGAAGCGTTTTAGGCCCTATTTTATTTACTTTTTATACCTCAGATTTGATAAGACATATATCATCTGACTGGAATGTACATTTGTATGCAGATGATGTACAAGTTTACAAACCATGTCAAACAACCGATGAAAATTCTTTAATATTAGAACTTCATAAAAATTTAGACATAATTGAACAGTACTCGAAAAATCATTGTTTGAAGCTCAATCCCTTGAAAACCAAAGTATGTTGTGTTGGTTCTAGACTAGCGATTCTAAAGTGTAAACAAGTAATAGGTAAATACGAACATATTTTTAGAAGGAATTAACATTGAATTTGTTGAGGAAACAAAAACTTTGGGAATAGTACTTGATAAGAATTTAAGTTTTGAAAGTCACATTATAAATAATCTCAGAATATGTTATTATAAATACAAATCGCTATGGAGATATAAGTATATGTTAACAAGTGATACTAAACTGAAACATGTTAATGCATTAATCCTCACACATTTAGATTATTGTAGAAAATTCAAGTTTTACAAAACCATTATATGAGGTTTTGTTTTAATGAGATAAACAGACGCGAACACATTACTGGGTATTATGTACGCGAAAATCTTTTAAAATTCAAATATCGCTCGTTACTTCTCTATCCTGTTCTACTATTTAGGGTTTTAAAATACAGGGTGTCCGCAAAGTTGGGGTTTTCCTCTTCAGAAACAACTACCCTTGAAATAACAAAGGTAATGTGTAGTGAAACGAGGGCGACCAAGTAAAAAAAATAAAGGAAAAAGTACTCACTCTCCAGTTGACGAGAAGGGCTAAGTACGTCTCTGCCCGAAATCATACCGCTCCAACAGAAAATGAAATCAGCTGATGCGCTACCGAGCAGACGCAGGAAAACAAGGAAGGCAAAATGTTGCGTAAAAAGTCTAGGTATTGCATCCCGTCCAATCGATTTGGGAGAATAAATGGTCCAATGAGCATACCGTTCACCATGCCAGCCTAAACATTCACCGAAAATGTTTGTTGAAAATGTGCCCGACGGACAGCGTGCGGATTTTCTACTGACCAAACATGAGTGTTGCGAAAGTTATTCACCCCATTACGCGTGAACGTAGATTCGTCTGTCACCAATATGCACTTCAAAAAGTCCGGATTATTGTCATGTTGATGCAACAAAAACTCACAAAACCGCACTCTTGCTGGAAAATCGTCAGGTTGAAGGGCTTGTACACGTTGGACGTGAAACGGATACAGCCCCTCTTCACGCAGCGTTTGCCACACTTTAGTTTTTGATACTTGCACTTCTCTAGCCACGTCTCTAGTGCTTGTTGAGGGATTCTCGTCTACGCGATTATCTCTACACGCGTGACCGTAACCGTCGGTTGAAGGTTGCATACTGACCTGACACACTGACCCCGACCCAGTTCTGTCGTCGGGTTGAGCTAGTGTCCTAGTACCACTTTGGGATGTCGCGGCTACAGGACGGTATTCAGATATTTTTGATGATGCAGAGCCCTTTATCTCGGTTCCCTTAAGACATTGGTGTATATGGTACTAAGAAAAAATGCTTATGTTTTCAAGATCTACACGTCGTGTAAAGGAAAACTCCAACTTTGCGGACACCCTGTATAAATCTCCGAAATATTTTTTTGACAAATTAGAGAAAAGATCTTCCCTCCATCAACTGTTTTTTCGTAATGAATATTGTTATAATATACCAGCCCACACCCTCAAAATTTTGAAAAATGCTTCTATTACATAGCTCCCAATATACTAAATGATTACCCAATTTTCTTGGAACTAACATCCATTCACAGCTTCAAAAGAGAATTCAAAAGAATGCTATTACAGTTACAACTTGATGAATGTACAGGTGGTTGAATAAATCTCATCATTAATATTATTATATTTTAAAGTTTTGTTAGCATTATTATAGTCAGCTACATGTTCTTTATATAATGTATATAATATGCCCTAGTAAGATATAGTAATGCACTTAATGAATTTACCTTAGCTATTCAGGCGGAGGTGAAAAATGGCTATGCCAATCCCCAGCCCTTTGGAGTATTATTAATATTTTTTTTGGTGTTATATTATTTGCTCCTATTTTGATTCTATTATGTATTAATACTCCAATAAATATTATTATTACTATTATTATACAGGGTGGCGCATCGAAAACGAAACAGACGCATTTACTGGCAGCTCAGTTTTTTTTTTGAAAAACGCTCAGACCAGTCGATTTTGTTTTTGAGGGGGACACAAGTTTGGCAAAAAATCAAGCTAGCACGTGCAGCCCCCTAAGCGGGAGTGACACCACCCAAAAAATCTTAAATGAACGGGGGGTCGAGTGATACCTTATTTTAAAGGCCTTTCAATTCCCTTTATAATGATATAAAATTAATGTACTTCAGTTCAGTAGTTTTGAAGATTTATTGATTGTCATTGTCACTTCATTTTGACTTGCCTTATTGCACTGAATCCGCGTATACCTCGAGAAAACTGTTGAAATATTTTATTACTCCCTACTGCAACTATTGTTGGGGTGCAGCTCCGTTGATATTCTTGGAGGATAACAGATTTTCCAGTGGCAAACATTTTTTCTGCCAATTACGAAGAATTTTGACAAAATATTTGACATCAATCATCTTGACTAGAAGAAAGTGATACGACCATACTGGGTACTCCATGAATAAGAAAAAAAAAGAAAACTGCTGAGATTGCTTCAGCTACGTCCGAGAGTGCTAAAATGGTGGTAACCAAACCAAGTGATGCACCAACGGAAACACCTAAAAACAGTAAGTGCCTTAGAACAACAAATGAGGAGCTAAAACAGGAAATAAAAATATTATATGAAAAAGTTAATTCATACAGTCAGTCAT